GTGGAGCTTACCAACTCACAGCTGAACCCCGAAATCCTAGCGGAGGGGTCGATCAGAGTCCCTACCTGGACCTGCACGCATGAAACAAAAATGCAGTGTCCCCAGGCAACGGGACATCAGTACGAATAAAAATGTACTGGTATGTAAGGCAGAAAGTAGAATCATACATAGCTGATGAAAGAAAAAAGTAATAGAGATACCACCTGACACCGAAACTCTGTTAGCCTCCATGGCCGACATCCGACCTCGTAGTAATCAAATATGCATGGTACGCTCGTGTAATCGTATGTCGTGAATACATATATATTGATGCAAATGCATGACATACCCAACCAAATGCTAGCAATGGCGGTCTCTTCCGGTAGCTAACCGGTATCATATTGCCAACCTGTGGCCATCTGTACAATACATATAGTCTTTCGGGCAAATAGGCCCCTTACCTCCGATTATAGCTCGAAGTCCATGCTTATGATATGAACTTTGAATGCACATAATAGGCCATAACAAGAACTTAGCCAATCTTGGCTCATGGGTACTCTTATTCTCATAATCCCCTTCGTATCGCATACAATTGTCTCGTGGAACCTCATATGTTTTTTTTTGGCTTGAAAACTTAACTCGACTTTTAGAAAGATAACTTAACTCTAAAGATATTCATAAAAAGCTTAAGGTACTTCACTTAGTCCATATACCTGATTTCTTGATAATTAGTAAAAGAAAGTATTTCAAAAATCAAGTGTTTTAGTAGTTTAAACATAAAAATTTATATTTGAGATTTTTGGAAATCGACGTGCCACTTTAGAGATTTTAACATACACTTTAAAAAGGAAGAAGGACTGATCGCAAATACTAAATGCCTTTATTTTTTTAAGTCACACAACCCAAAGACGAATAAGAATTCATATATATAGACATATAGTTACGAAAGCCGACAAAATGACATATATAGATGTCGAATACCCTATTTAACCGAACGAGTGGAATATCAACCTAATAGCATCATGAAAATGCTCCAGCTAAGATCCCAATGCCTTTCACAGAAGGTCTTTCTAGCAATAGAATAGTAAAATATCACATTTGACGTCTTAGGAATTTCCAAGAATTCGTGCAAAAAGGAAGGACGGAGCTTAGCCTTAACATACCTTTCCAACAAATGTCCGAATGCCTGTAGTTCCTTCACGAAAGTTGTTCCTTACGTCCTAAGCTTCGAAAACACTATATATATGCAGCTTATACGCACCTAAACAGTTCACAATTGAGTTTAAATCGGCATATTTGCCATATGACCCTAACTTGACGAAACGTCCGTAGAACTTTGTAAAAACGATCATAAAAGAGTCCCAAGATGATTACCTTGGCAAACCAAGTATAAAGCCTGAAGAACCAGCAAGAACAACAAATTTCTATCTTCCAAAAATAGCTCCAAACACAGCTAATAGAAGGGGGAAACAATTGCAAAGCGTAGAGATTGAGTTTCTAGGCACGGGGGCAAACTTTAACGGTAAAAATCGTTAAAAACGCACCTTAATCACTCAAGAACACCATGGAACCCTATCTTCAGCTTGCTCACTGTTTTGGGACTGAAATGAAATATTTTGAGGTCTTCAAAGTCGAGTTTACCGTCTTATACCACTTGTTTGACCCGACCCAGTTCGCGACCCGGTTTCAACCTGGACAGTCCGGGGTAAAACAGTCATAACTTTTTACTCCAATGTCCGTTTGATGTGAGATTTTTTTTGGTTGTAAACTAGACTCATAGACCTTCTATTCGATAGGTTGTGAGTCCCATAACGCTTTACATATTGGGAGAAATGATCTGATACATTTGACCCAAAGTTTAGAAAATTTATTAGAGAAATTTACAATAACTTTTGCCGACCTTTATTTCGCAACTTGCTTGACTCCAAAACATAACATGTGACCAGTGTGATGTTATACCCAATCATATATACCTAATATACCACGCCACGTTACGTATATTACGTAAGAGAAGAGAAAAAAACATGGGGTCTCACAATTTTCCTGTTTCTCTTATGTAGTTCCAGAGACAGTATTTTGTTATTTCTTTCAGACCCTTATTTGTAGTACTCTTAGATGGTCTGTGAAGTTGTGACACCAAATCTTGGGTAGTTTTGTTAAGGAATTGGATTAGCAGTATTTTTAAGTTTGAAATTTATTCTTCCGCTTGTTAAATTATGTTGTTATTAATTGTTGGTTCTAAGTCGTTAATGAAATCAAAAATGGAAAACAAGTCAAATAGTTCAGTTGGTTGGCTTGCCTATCTTTCACTAGTAGGCGCCATCACAACTCCCGAGGATGGAAAATTCGGGTCGTGACACAACATTAATCAAATACTGTCTATATATTTTTGCCCTTTTTTGATTCAGAAATGAAGTCCATTGGGATAAATTGAGACTCTCTCAAGCAATTGCTATGGAACCTAAGTTGGCAGCTGTTTCCATTGCCTTATTCATTGCTTCAAATCTTGGTTCCTTAGCTTGGAACTTAAGGGCTGCATATAATTTCATATAGTCCTCAAACACAAATTTCGGATACTTTAGTTTGTTTTCTTTTTCTTCTTTCTCAGCCAATTCTGGTGCTGGAAAAATGACTGCATCACTCCCTGGATTGTAGAAAGATGCTATGGACACCATGTTCCCATCTGGCTTGTATTTTCCATTTGTGATCACCTTCATCAACCATTCAACCAAAACAAAATTATTAGTAAACCATATAAATATTTTACTAACCACATATTAATGTAATAAACACTACACAATGACAATTGAATTAAGAGTTTATGTTTTATAAGCTGACAGTATATACAATATTTATCCAATCAAGTCACTTAAAATATAATTGCAGGTAACTCTATTCAATAAGCATTTTGCCTAAATCTATTATTTTATTATTATACTATACTATATGGGTATTCTTAAAAGAGTGGAATGATGTAGCGAATAGCTTTAAAACGAAAAATTTTAAGTGAAAATTTTTGCCCTTTAAAACAGATTCTCGAAAAGTTCCCTAGAATCATGAATCAGCAACGAAATATATCACTGTTCACGAATCTGAGAGATACGTAACAAACAAAAGGCATCAATCATTTCTCATCAGTCATTACTTCTTCTTATTTTAAGCGATAAATCATTACCTGACCAATTACTACTATCATAATAGTTTAGTTGGAGAGAATTCTATCCACTGTAAAAAAAAAAAAAAAAAAAAGAATTGTGTTGTGACTATGATAAAAGGTGTCATGTTATTTTTTTTTTAAATTATTTTTTTTCAAAAATAAGTTCAACCATAAGCAATTACGGATTCTTTTAAAACTTTACAAAAACTTAAAACGCATTGGAGTTGTTTAAGTGTTTCAAATACAAAAAAGGATAAAGAAAATAACGATTTGTTGAAAAGAAAGTTCAGATTTTTTATTTATTTATTTATTTGCAAAAAAACTTGTTTAAGCAAAGATATTACTATTTGACTTTAAGATTGATTTGGAGCATTATTAAGTTGCGTCCCCGGTATTCTCAAAATCAGACAAACCAGAGAAGACAATAGGATAATGGCAAGGTTTTGAAATGGAGAATCCAACTTTGATTTCATCCTACCGTAATATGGGAAGCTACTAAAATCCTTTTTCTTTTTGGGGATTTGGCTATAAAATCTAATTTTGTGTTGTTCGTTGTTGCATGTTTAAATTAGAGAAAATCTCACTTTATACCCATTAATTCCAAACTATTTACCCTTTAATGCCCATGCCCAAACTATTTACTACTCCTACCCATGGCCCCCGAACTATTTACCCGCACTTCTTCTCCTCATTTTACCCACGTACAATCTACCACCTTCAACTGATTCTAACTCAACACCTTCTTCTTTTTCTTCAATTTCCTCTTCTTCTTCGGCTGACAATGCAACTTCTTCTTCGTTATCATCTTGGACAACCTCAACTCCATCAGACACAGAAGCACAAGTGCTCAAAAAGATTGAAGAACGATAAAGAGAAGAAATTGGGGAATGGGCTTTGAGTTTTGTTGAGTTTATCTTGAAGTTGAAGTGAGTATTATAGTACTTAAGGAAAGATGATCTACTGAGAATTTAGGCTTTTGAGTGAAGAGATACAGTGAAGAAGTAGAAGAAGTAGATGCTATAGCAGCAACAGAGAAGCAAGAACCTGACATTTTTTGTACCGAAGAACCAGTTCGGGGTGATGCTTCCATGGTCCTACCATTGTTGGGCTTGAAGCTCAATTTTATTTTTGAAGATTTCTTGTTTGATTCAAAGTGGGTGCTGTTAAATATTGCTTATAGTACCTTCTGGAATTTAATACTGAAATTTGATAGCGTTTGGAGCTGATTTGAGGTGATTGAGATCGAAATTTTCAGTTGAAAATCGAAGAAGAACACAGCTACAATATACCGCTACGGTATACAATATGCTGTAGGAGTATATAGTTATACTGTAACACTATACTATTATAGTTTACAAAACAGTATACCGCTACAGTATACTAATATACTATAGGAGTATATAGTTATACTGCAACAATATACTATTATAGTATACAATATATTGTTATGGTATACTGTAATAATATGCAAGATACCGTAACAATATGATGCAATAGTATACAATATACTATAATAGTATACTTATTACCCGTAAATTCACTTGTCTCCCTTTTAATTTGTTTTAAGCTTTTACCCAAGCGTGAGGGCAAAACTGAAAATGCAAAAAAAAAATAAAAAAAATTATAGTATGCTTATATGATTAATGGTATACTCTTACAATTACGGTCCTTTTAAGAATTTCAGTTTTTTTTTTTTTTGACAACTGATATTATTTCAGTTTAATAATTGAATTAAATTTTTTTAACTCTTTGCGTACAATTGTATACCCTGTTGGTATATGCGTATATACTATACTGGTAATCATATGTTTAGTAAATATTTTTCTTGGTGTATTAACTATATTAATTGGTAACACTAATTTGATTTTTTCTTTAGTAATAATATTAAAAAAAAAATAATATAAAAATAGTGAAAAAACAGTAAATGAATTAGTTATGAAGGAGAAAAAAGAATATAAAAAAACAGAAGCTAAATAAATTAGAAAAGGAAAAAAGAAAAAAAAAAAGAAGAAGAACGAGAAAAAAAAAGGAGAAAAGAAAAGAAAAAAGCATAGAAAGTAAAAAAACAATTGGAGAATAAAGAAAAATTCCCCACAGAACTACTATGGGTAGGAATATGTAATTAGTTTATGCGGTAGGAAAACCAAAATGGGTAGACAAGAGTAAATAGTTTTGTTTTTGTGGTAACTGTGTTCCAAAAACACTTTTAAATTAGCTCTCGTTGTTATTTTTTTTTCTTTTTCATCTTCGATAAAATTCCATTACTACTGTCTTTTTTTTTTATTCATCTGATTGAATGAATTGCCAATTTTTGTCTTCCGAAAGTTTTTTGTTTTGCATGTTTGGCGTGTATAGTGTGTTATCTCTTTCAATGGGTTTGTTGTGAAACGCTTTTTCTTTTCAATTATGTTATTTTGTTGTTATTACTTTTTCCTTGATTTGGCACATGAATACTAGGAGTATATGCAACTTTCTTACTTTTAAAATTTTTTTTTTTTTTTTTTTTTATATTTGGATCTTTTGAGCCAGAGTAGATCAGGTCTGACCATAATTTTGTACATGCACCATTGTTATAATATCTACAGTTTTCAGTTTTTCGTTTCATAAATTCTGACCTATTCTTGTCTAAGTTAAACGCTTCTTACAACGTGCTTGTTGTTTTCTTGGCTGAAAATATTAATTTTGCATTAACTTAACAGGCGATCAACTGTAAGGATTTAAATGACCTTCTTCTCCTTAAAATAAATAATGTAAATTTGTAATGGCTGCAACTACATGCATGGATAATTGCATTAATTACTCATGTGTTATTTGGCTTGTTTCTTTCTTATGGTTATTGTTAATCTTCATAGGATGTTGGGTTTTTGCCATGCGACATGTTCATGAAAAAAATAAAGAAATTGCTTATCTCTTTCACCATGAGGAGTACATTAGAATCCGGATCTCTCATCCTTGTCCCAGATAAAGAAACTAACGGTACCATATGCAAATGTACAATTTATATTCACATAATTTACAATCTGACATTAAATATTTATTGTGATAATGATTAGTCTCATGACTCTCATCTTCCATACACAAGGCTTTCTCCATTAAAAAAACTATCAATTTCAAGTGAGCTACAATGTTTATGCATTTAAATATGTAAAAATAGACAAGAAGTTGGACCACAATACTGTTGCTGATGCTGAGGCACACCCCACATAAAAGAAGTCCATTTGTTGTTGTATTTATTTTGCATCAGCCCACTTCTTTAGTGAGGCCCATTTTTCATTCTTTAGTAGTTAGACCAATTTTGTATATATCAGAATTTTGGACTTCTTCTAGAAGATATATAAGTCATTTTTCCTTTTTTCAGTTTATGAAATGAAAAGCTCTCCTTCTCTCTTCTCTCGTGATTCCTTCAAAAACTTTACATAGATTTTGATCAATCCATGGAAATCAATGTTTTCACATGGTATCAGAGCGGAGATTCCGTTCCTACTCCTCACCAGCTTCCTCGCGATGTTACCCTCACCTATTTTCATCAGAGTTTTCTTGTTCGCTGAGAAATTTAGGGTTTTCTTATTTCATTGAGTTTCCTTCCGCAATCGCTGGTTTTAGAGGTTTGTCGTACCTGAGATTCATCGGATTGGCGTGGAAGTAAGTCGATTCCTGCGGATTTTGTTTCATTTTCAGCTGTTAGGGTTTGATTTCTTTCAAGTTCAAGGCCGTGGACGTCTTTCGGTCGCAAAGACGAAGGGTATTATCCTATCTAGCTAATTTTTTGCTGTTCGAATCTATTAGATACTGATTGAGGTGAAGATATATTACTGCATGTGTTGTGGTTGAATTCTATAAACTTTCTAACTGAGTAATTGAATTCCAAAAATGGTTAATGTTGCTGATGATTCTGCACCTGCTAGTTCCTCTGCTAATTTCATACCTGACCCTTCGAGCCCCTTGTTTCTCCTGTCTTCTGATGTTCCGGGAGTTTCCTTGGTTAGTAATCCTTTTTCTGGGACTGGTTTTGGGGGATGGAGACGAAATATGATTGTCTCCCTATCTGCTAGGAATAACATAGGGTTTATTGATGGAACAGTTCTTAAACCTCCGGAAAATTCCCCTCAATTTAGGCAGTGGGATAGGTGTAACAATATGGTCATATCTTGGCTGACCAATTCCCTTACACCAGACATAGCTGAAAGTGTCCAGTACTCTGACACTGCCCAAAGTATTTGGACTCAACTTAACAAAAATATGGTACTGTCAATGGTACCAAGGTTTTTGAGATAAAGCAAGAGTTAACATCCACTAGTCAAGGGTCTTTGGATATAGCATCTTACTTCAACAAGCTAAAGAGATTGTGGGATGAATTGGGTTTCATGCGTGCATCTCGTGGTAGTTCTTGTACATGTACTGCCAAATCTGAGCTCCAAAGAGAAGATGATGAGAACAAGTTGCATCAATTTCTCATGGGGCTTAATGACACCTATGTTGGAGTTAGGAGTAATCTGCTCATGATGCAGCCTCCTCCATCCCTAGACACTGCCTACAACATCTTGCTTCAGGATAAGAGACAAAGACAAGTCTCCTCACCATCCCAATTCCGTACTGATTCAGCCTCTTTCAATGCCCATCTCACTAACAAGTTCTCAGGGACACCTGCCCCTCCTATACAGTTCAATCAAAAAATCAACTTTGATCTCAGCAAGTCAAATATAGTGTGTAGGTATTGCAAGAAACCTGGCCATTTGGTTGACAAATGTTATAAGCTCCATGGGTTCCCACCAGGTTTCAAATTTACAAAGGGTAAGAGGATTGCTGCAAATGTTGAGGTGCAGGGTTATCCAAATTCTGTTGGTTCTCAAAATACTGTTGAGAGTTCTCAAGGACCTTCTGAGTCAGAGTCTTTGATTCCTGGGTTAACCAAGGATCAATATTCACAACTTATGATGCTACTTCAACAGACACAAATTTCAGAGTCACAGCCCCAGTCCAGCCTCTTGGCATCTGCCAACTTTGCTGGTACTTTCTCTCCAACCAGTTGTCTAAAAAATATATCTTATGGTGCTTGCATGTTAACTAAAGTAGATGAATGCATTTGGATTATAGATTCTGGGGCCACTGACCACATGACCTCCAATAAAGACCTTCTATTTGACATTAAGCCATTAATCATACCATACTTAGTTACTTTGCCAAATGGTTATAAGGTCAAGGTAACATGTACTGGTTCCATTCAATTCCTTTGCTTCACATTGCATCATGTCCTTTATATTCCTAGTTTTTATTACAACCTTATCTCTGTATCCAAACTTGTCTACCAGTTAGATTCTATTGTCCTATTTACTAAGTTTTCCTGCTTGATACAGGCCCCTTCACTGAAGAGGCCACTGGAAATTGGTAAATTGGATGATGGTCTTTACAGGCTTGTTCACTCCTCTCCTTCTCTTCAATCTCATGCAACAGCATGTCAGTCTAGTTCTATAACTGCCCCTTTACTTGTTGAAAATGTTCCTTGTAAATACCATTCTCCATTAGCTACTGATTCTGTTTCTTGTTCTCATTGTACATACCATTCTGAACTGAATAAAATGGAGATGTTATGGCATAACAGACTGGGGCATATACCTTTTGTTAGGATGAAAGAAATTTCTCATATACCTTGCAAATTTTCCACTAAAACAGCCTTTCATTTGTACTGTTTGTCCATTAGCCAGGCAACCTAGGTTACTTTTTCCTGATAGTTCTATTAAAACTACACATGCTTTTCAACTCATACATGTGGATACCTGGGGTCCTTATGGTACTCCTATTCATAATGGGTGTAAATATTTCCTAACAATAGTTGATGACTTCACTAGAGCTACTTGGACTCACCTTACGGGGTCCAAGAGCAATGCATTTCCCCTTATCAAAGCTTTTATTGCCATGATCAAAACACAATTCCAATCTATTGTACAAACCATTAGAAGTGGCAATGCATTTGAGCTTGGGTCTAGCAGTTGTGGCAGTAACTTCTTTGCTGAAAATGGAATAATTCACCAAACCTCTTGTTCTCACACACCACAACAAAATGGTGTGGTTGAGAGAAAGCATAGATATCTGTCAGAAACCTCAAGAGCCTTACTTTTTCATTCTCACCTACCTATTAGATTCTAGGGTGATTGTGTGCTTACTGCTACCTATCTTATAAACAGATTTCCTTCTAAACTTCTTAACAACAAAACACCTTTTGAGCTACTTTTGGACAACCTCCTTCTTATAACCATATTAAAACATTTGGTTGTCTCTGTTTTGCCTCAATCCCCAAATGCCATAGGGATAAATTTCAACCCAGAGCTGATCCTTGTGTCTTTCTGGGATATCTATTGGCTAAGAAGGGTTACAAGTTATACAACTTGAAAAATAAGCTTACCCTAATATCCAGGGATGTAGTCTTCCATGAAGATGTCTTTCCCTTTGCTTCTTCTATGTCCATTCCCAATGCTCCTTCTCTTCCTCTTAACCCCTCTACTAGTTGGAGTTTCCCTACTGATGATTCCTTGCATGATACCTCTTCAACTTCTGTAACTCCTGCTTTCTCTTCACCATCTCCTTCTCTTTTTCATCAACAGTCTCCCTCTCCACCATCTGCTTCTCCTTCACAGCACCAATCTCCTTCTTTGCCAACACAACCTGCTCCCAGGAGGTCCAGCAGGACTCATGTTCCTCCTGCTCATCTACAACATTATGTTTGTAGCCTTCCTCCATCTCTTACTGGCCCCAGTTCTTCTTCTGCTTGTCTTCATAGTTTAGTTAACAATGCTGAGGTAGAGCCTGCCTCATATCAGCAAGCTGCCTCTCTTCCTGCATGGCAGGAGGCCATGAGGAAGGAGTTTGAAGCCTTAGAAGCCAATCATACTTGGTCTATAGTTCAGCTACCTCCAGGTAAGAAACCCATTGGTTGCAAATGGGTTTATAAGATCAAGTATAGGGCTAACGGGACTGTGGAAAGATATAAGGCTCGATTGGTTGTTAGGGGTGACACCCAAGTTGAGGGTGTGGATTTTACTGAAACCTTCTCCCCTTTTGTCAAATTTTCAACAATCAAGTGCCTTGTTGCTGTAGTTGTCAAACAAAATTGGCCTCTTTTTCAACTTGATGTCAACAATGCTTTTTTGCATGGTGATTTAGATGAAGAGGTTTATATGAAGTTGCCCCCTGGGTTGTCAGCCACCCCTTTATCTGGTTGTGCTTCATCTTCTTCTCCTTTGGTTTGCCTTCTTCAGAATTCCTTATATGGTTTGAGACAGGCTTCTAGGCAGGTATGCCAAGCTGTCCCAAGCCTTATGTTCCAGGGGATACTCTTCTTCTCTAAATGATTACTCTCTTTTTTCTAAAAAGTCTGCTTCTTCTATTATCTTGTTGGTTGTATATGTTGATGATATTATTCTTACTGGTAATGATTTGGAAGAAATTACTGCTTTAAAGAGTTTTCTAGATAATGAGTTTAAGATCAAAGACTTGGGGGTTCTCAATTACTTTCTTGGAATTGAAGTTGCTTACCACTCTGATGGCCTACTCCTTCATCAGAGAAAATTTATTAAAGACCTTCTCAAGGAGTACCATTGTGAGGATGTTACTCCTGTTACTTGTCCTCTAATCCTCTCTGTCAAGCTCAAGATAGATATGGGTGATCCTCTTCCTTCTCCTGAAACCTATAGGAGTCTGGTGGGTAAGCTCAACTTTCTCACTCACACTAGACCAGACCTGGATTTTGCTGTTGATCGCGGCCGTCTCAATACTACACAATGGTAGGAAGAGTGGGTAGCAATAACTAATACCCGAATAGTGGATCAGGGTCGAAATTCCACAGGGAGCTAGTAAAGGAGTTATAATATCGGTCTAGCCTAGAGTTGCGGTTGTGCTTCTAATATCACTTCTAACATTTTTGGTTTTGATTTTTATATCTTCTACTTTAAGACTAATAGATGAAGCTAAATTATGCTATGGAGATATTGCTAAGTTATAATTAATATAGAGAAAGGGACTAGGGTCGTGGCGTTACCTAGGTGGTTAACCAACGAGCAGATGATACTAAGGATAAGATGATACACTTGGGGCTTATGCTATAACCGTTGCACAATTGTACCCACTCTCACACCTCTCGGTAGAAAGAGTGATTTTGCCCAATTGACTCTCTCGAGACCAATTGGGTAGGCCAATTAGACCAAGCAACTAGGGTTCAAGTAGGGTGATTACTCTCTCAAGATTTAACCCGTTAATTGGGACTACCATTCCTCATGGGTCCATCCCAATTCCTTGTTGGGTCAATTTTGGGGTCATGGACTCTCTTTCTCAAGAAGAGTTAAACCCACAAAGCTAAAATTAGTGTTTGCAACCACCAATTCTAAATTAAAACCTAAAATTAACCCAAATAGCAAACACCCAATATCATCCTAACCTTAGATGGCAACACCCATCAATTACCCACACTAGGATTGAGCCACAACCCTAGCTAATGGGTTTAGCTGGACATAATTAAAGAAGAAATAGAAGAAATAGAAGAAGAAATAACCATATTAATTAATAGCTAATGTTAAACTAAAATACTCTATGATGAATTAAAGCTAAAATGCCCAAAATAGGCTAAAACATATTTCTCACGAGCGCAGCAGCTATCTGATATACAAAACTTGACCTAAAAATGGTAAAAATGTCCTATTTATACCGGGCTGGAAAACTGGACAAAAATACCCCTGCGGGGTTAGCGCGGACCGCGCAGAAATGTAGCGCGGCCGCACTTGAAGACGGGCGCGGACCGCGTATAAATGGAGCGCGGCCGCGTGGTAGTACTTTGGCAAAAACACCATTTCTCTGAATCTCATCCACGCGGACCGCACTGATTTGTAGCGCGGCCGCGTGGGACTTCTCCTTGAATTTGCAAGCCTCTGAACTTCACAAGCGCGGACCGCGTAATAAGGAGCGCAGACCGCGCAGGATGCCCTTGAATGAACCAGTCTCTGAATCTCCTAGCGCGGCCGCGTGGCAAAACAGTGCGGTCCGCGCTAGGTCTTCTTGTTCCCCACTTCACTTGGTCTGTGACACTTGGCAGGTTTCACTCCGTTTTGAGCCGATCTTTGACATTTGTCATCTTGTCGCTCAAACCTGCAATCAAGCGCAACTTGTAAGCATTTTGGGACTGTTTTGTGGCAATTCATAACAAAAGCAATAGCAAGTAGGGGTATAATCATGTTAAAATCCTAACTTATCAACTCCCCCAAACTTAAACCTTTGCTTGTCCTCAAGCAAACAAAATAAGACCCGCCCTTAAAAAGGCAATCCAAGAGTTTCCAGCCATCCTAAAGTAACCTCAACAAGCATCAATTGGTACTAACAATTGCCCTCAATACGAATGCATCATTAACACATTTTAAGCTTTTGAAAACTATGGATCAAGTGTGCCACAAGAGCAGGTTGACACATTTCATCAAAGAGCTTTTCTCAAATACCTTGGTCATTGTGGAACCCAAACTCAAACATCCTCAGCTCTCCCTAAGCGAACCTCACCTTTTAGAGTATTGACACACAAACCGAGGTTGATGGGATTTCCACTCAATTCTCTCAAAAAGAACGTCACAAGTCCGGCTCTAGGTACCATATGCTTGCCCTTTATGTAAGTTTCCACTAATGTAGGCTCCCTTCAACTCAAGATCATATAGGGCTTTTGTGGAGTCATTGTGTAGGCTTTTGGGTACGGGTAGGACATGTTTTTGTTCAAGTGGGTTCAATCTTCCCTTAAGCACTTCTTTTGTCTCATTTTGGTATGCTTTCTTGACTCATTAGAGTATTCACTTCTCTTTCAAGGGGTTAGAGAGACGCACTGTCGCTCTTTCTTATGCAATTCAACACATTTATCCTTTTTCTACTTTCTCCACATCCTTTTTCACTTTTGTTTTCTTTGAATCCCCTTTTTGTTCTTATTTTTGATCTTTCTTTTTGTCTTTTCTTTCTTTTCCATTGCCTTCCTTTTCTTTTTGCTTTTGTACCTTTTTACTACATTGTTTCCTTCTTGTCTCTCCCCCCAAACTTTGACTTTGCCATTGCTCAAGGGAAGTGTGGGTGCCAAGAATCCTGTGTTTCATGAGCGGACCAAACACATTGAGGTGGATTGCCATTTCATTAGGACAAAGCTTCATGAGGGTCCTTATTCCTTGCATCATGTTCCTACTGCTTTTTTCGAGCTATGCAGATGTCTTTACTAAGCTTTGACAGTGTCTTGTCCATCATTCATTACTGCTACAAGTCTGGGGTTCAAGTCACCTCACCACACGTTGGAAGGGGGGTTAGATTAAGAAGTTGGACCATCATATACAGGTTATGCTGATGTTATGGCACACCCCCAATAAAAGAAGTCCATTTGTTGTTGGTATTTATTTTTGGCATGCAGCCCACTTCTTTAGGTTGAGGCCCATTTTCATGTCTTTAGTAGTTAGCTAATTTTGTAATATCAGAATTTTGGACTTCTTGCTAGAAGATACGATAACCATTTTTCCTTTTTTTCAAGTTTGATGAATAATGAAAAGCTCTCCTTCTCTCTTCCTCTCGTGATTACCTTCAAAAACTTTACAATATGATTTTGATCAATTCCATGGAGATCAATGTTTTCGCAAGGTACTTTTTGATCTAATCTTAGTCTTATTGATACTAACTTTTTAGCAGAATCTTCTCTTCTTACCAAAATAGTACTTTAATCATGAACTGCTATTGTTTGATGTTGATCTTCAACCAGCCTTTGGCTTAACAACTAGGAAGATACGGGTGAACAAGGAGAAAAATATTATCCTTTACTGCAGAGGAGATATATGATATAACTTTAATTTAGGTACAAAATCTTGCTGTCAATAAAATTCAACCTAACAACATCTAATGGTTATGCTATCGTTAAAGTTAACAAATTTCTACATGTTTACTACAGGATTGAACTTGCAAAAAAGTTTCTTTTCCAAAGGAGTCCCGGCCAATACTGAACATTCAAACTTGGCTTACTCATGAACTGCTCAAAACCTAAGCTAAATAATTATTTGCGCGAACATCTAGAATACTGTATATTCTGTCATGTGTTGAATTGAAACATTCATCATTCTCTCACAGCACCAACCTCAACTGACATTGGCGAAGGCAGCAAAAGAAAGAACCCTTTAGTTGTGCCGATGAAGAAAATCTTTTGTTGCTCCAATGAAGTAGTGGAATTACCAACTGGACAGGGTAAATCATTGAAGGTGAAAACAGAACTGGAGCCAACGATGGAATGAAATGGTTACCAATAAATTGCCGTTTGTTACTCTTTCTATAAAAAATATATTTTACACTTTTTTCTCAATCACTCTGTTATGCGAAGTTACGTATAAGATGCAACTCTTGACATTGGTATCATAGAAACTTCAAGGTTTAAATGGCTTTGACGTGCTGTCTTGTTTGTAAAAATATTTGCAGGTAAAGCAAGTCTCTGCTGCATTTCACTTTTGGCTTTTTGGCTTGTACATACTGTTGAGCTATAACTTAAGGTAAATATTTTGCTTATTTGCTAATCTCTCTTTTTAAACTTAGTGAATAATCTCTATCGCCGTCCTTTATTTGTTGGGAATACTCTGAAATACTAATAAAGTGCAACTCTTTCATATAGATAAAATTTTAAGACTGCCCTTGAAAAATACTTGTTTAGCAATGGTGTAAAAAGAATGCGATAAAATTGCATGATTCCTATTCCGATGTAGGTTATCGGATAATCTTGAGTTATCCTTCTGGTTAGGGGGATGCTGGTGCCACTAATTTTCTTTTTTTAATAAGTTAATGTATTATTAACAAGAATGTACCAAGAAGGTACACAAGGGTACAACAGAGCGGACATCACCTATAAATAGTCCCTTATTACATATTTCGTAGCAGATTCAAAAATTCTAAGTACTGATCCTTACTATCTGATAAACATGTATTACACTACTAACGTAGATCACACAATCATAAGTTCTTAGTTCTAGAAGTGTGACTCTGTATATTCTCAAAACGAGCTCTATTTCTTTCACTCTAAATGATCCGGATGCACAAAGGGGTGGTCCTCCCAAGCTGCTTTTGGAACGTTGCCATCGTTTGTTCCTGCCAGCTATCCATTAGGTTCCTGATATATGAAGGCATAGTTATAGTGACACCACAAAGATTCAAAACGAGCGCCCAACATTGCTTAGCAACTTTGCAGTGAACAAAAAGATGGTTAACGGATTCCAAAGATAGGAGGGGGCATAAATCTTACCTTCCTAAGATACATATGAAAATTGTTACCTTTCAAAAACAAAAAAAAAAATACATATAAAAATTAACAGAGTATTGTGAATGCGTATAAAAGTTATTACCACTGTACAGATGCGGTAAAAAATGTCTTAATGTTGTTGCATTGTTGTCAAGATTTTCTGAGGTCTTCGGTATAGTTCATTAATTTAAGCCTACCCTTGAAGAATACTTGTTTAGTAACTGCTGTAAAAGAGTGCATCAAATTGCATGATTTCTATTGTGAAGTAGGTTGTGGGATAATATTGAATTATCCTTTTGGTTGGGGAGGAACTACTGGTGAAACTGATTATTTGATGCAAAATTTCAATTGCCCATTGTTTTGGCTGCTGCATCCTCCTTTGTGTTCTCTTTGAGCATGTAAACAACCGATAGCTTTGCTAGCTCTAGGGACTAAAATCTCATCGATGGTGAGGTTATCTATTATGGAGCTATTCAGGATATCATTGAGATTGATTGTTGGGGTTGTTTTAGTATTGTACTATTTAGATGCGACTGGTTTCATAATGAAATGGATGAATATGGGTTAACCCGTGTGTACTTTAAAAAATTATGTAGCACATATGTAACGACCCGGCCGGTCGTTTTTGGAATTTACGCCCCGATCCCCCATTAACTGCTTCCCCTAAGTTCATTTCTGCTATTTTGGTTTGCTGGGACGTTCGGTGTTGAGTTTTTGAGAGTTTTGGGACACTTAGTCCCTAAATGAGAACTTAAGTGTTGAAAAATGGTCCGTAATCGGAACAGTGTGAAGACGATCTCGGAATGAAAATCCGATGGTTCCGTTAGCTCCGTTAGGTGATTTCGGGGTTGGGAGCGTGTTCGGAATGCTTTTTGGAAGCCTGTAGCTCATTTAGGCTTGAAATGCCGAAGTTGGAATTTTTGAAGTTTCCGGTCCGATAGTGAATTTTTGATCCGAGGGTCGGAATGGAATTCCGGAAGTTGTTGTAGCTCCGTCATGTCATTTGGGATGTGTGTGCAAAATTTCAGGTCAATCGGACGAGGTTTGGTTAGGTTTTTGATCGAAAGTGTGTTTTGCTGGAATTTGAAGTTCTTAGGCTTGAATCTTTGATTAATTCGTGCTTCCGGCGTTGTTTAGGGTGGTTTAAGGATTGGTACAAGTTTGAATGATGTTATGCGATATGTCCGTAGGTTTGGTTGAGGTCCCGGGGGCCTCGGGTGTGTTTCGGATGCTCAACGGGGCATTTTTGTGTTGTTCAAAGTTGCAGATTTTGCTTCAGCTGTTGCAGACCATTTCCCTTCTCTGCGATCGCATCATTTCTTCCGCGATCGCATAGTGTAAATTCGGAGGGTGATATTTTTGTTCTACGCGATCGCAGTATATGGTTCGCGATCGCAGAAGCCAGTTTCCCCCTTCTTCGCGTTCGCAAATGCACTCACGCGTTCGCATAGTAGAACTTAGGAGCTGGTGCCTCATTGCTATTTCCTCTTCGCGATCGCGTGGCCCAGTCGCGGATCGCAATAGCTCTGTTCTCTCTCTCTGCAATCGCATGGCTTGGATGCGTCCGCATAGACCATTTTCAGGAGCCTTTTAACTTTACTCTTCGCGATCGCAAACCAATTCCTGTGATCGCATTGAACAAAATACATGGCAGTTATAAACAATTCAAGAACGAGGGTTAGCCATTTTTATCAAAAACACAAGCTTGGGGAGCTCGGATTTGGGAGCAATTTCAAGGGTTTTTCAAGGGCAATCACCGGGTACGATTCTCTATACTCTCCTATGACTAAAACCATTAATCTAATCGCAAATTCACCCTTTAATTTCGTATTTTTGAATGGGAAGGTGGTAAACTTCTTAGACCTAACTATGGGTTTTGAGGGGGTTTGACCTCCGATTTGGGAAACTTTTATATGGTTTAGACTCGTGAGAGTACGAGGGTTCTGAAAAACGTAAAATTATTCGAATTCCGAGACGATGGCTGGAGGGGCATCTTTGGGTCATTTACCTATTTTCGCGCCATAGCCTTAAATTTAATAGTGAATCAGTTGTTTGCAATATTAATTTACGATATTAATTGAATTGAATAGATTTGGGCCATTTGGAGTCGGATACTCGTGGCAAAGGCGTGGTTTCTATTGATATTGAGCCGGTTCGAGGTAAAGTGGCTTTCTAACTTGTGTGGGGGACCTTTTCCCTTAGGATTTGTATTTTTTGATTTGAGTGCCTTGTAACGCGGAGGTGACGGCGTTTACTTTGAGCTAATGTGTTGGAACCCGATTTTTTAAGATTTGAAATTAGTTCATTCTTTCATTTTGGCTTTATCGTACATTGCAATTAAACATGTGCTAGATTAGAAAGCATGAAATTAGTGTGATTTAACTTGCTAGATGCATTAAGTTGCTTAAACTGTACTACTTGAAGCCATGCTAGCCAAGTTACACTGTTCTTTCTTTTTGTACTTCGTTCCGTGTACCTTCTGGTGTTGACGTCACTTACATTGGGACTACGGATGTGGGATTCCGGTAGCTCCCCTCCCTACCCCCCTTAGTTTGTTTATTTGGACTAGGGTTGATTCCCGTAGATTCCCCCCTGCATTTTACTTTGGGACCTCGGCGGTGTTAGATTTCTGATAGATCCTGCAATTGAAAGTTGAAACTACGGGACGGATCGCCGGAAGATCCTTCGATATACACTATGATGGACATACGGGACCGTATCCGGGAGATCCACTGTGACAGTTTGAGAATAAGGACTACAGGACTGTATCTGTGGGAGATCTCATTTGACAATTGGTTTGGAGCTGTACTTATATGTGCGTGTTCCGTCTTTGTGTAATTTTGCTATGGCTTGTTTTAACCATCTTTTATTACACGTTGTATTTTTATTCTTCCAGTCTCATCCTTAATTATTGTTATTCACTAATTTTGTCTCAGTTATGCAGACCTTGCCTGTACTACGCCTGATCTGAGTTAGGGCCTTGCACATACGGTAGTACACGCTGTGGTGGTACTCCAATGCATCCTCTGCACATTTTCTTCAGATCATCAGGTACCTCTACTCAGTGCGCCTATCATGAGCAGGATGGACTACCGGAGAATTCGAGTAATCTGCTCCGCAGACCGAATGAGTCTCCCCTACTTAATCTATTGTAGTATCTTAGTTTTTTCCTTCTTTCTTGTTGAAATTCTGGAGTTGTGAACCTTTACTAATAAATATTGAATGTGTTGCCGTGAGTTTCGGTTTTGTGAAATTGTTTTAGACCTTGTGATATTGATTTGTACTATGCCAAGCGGCATTCACTAATTTCCTTATGATAAAAGAATTTGATTTTTCTCTATTTTTCCCGCAATTAATCATACTTCGCAAGTATTGTTAGGCTACCTCCCGTCCATAAGGGACCAGGTCCGCATTGACATGTTCAACGTGGTTGTGAAGCCTATGGGTCGTGACAGACAATGACCCTTTTTGTGTTAGCATCACAAGTTTATCAAGTTTTTTATGTGGAGGATCCTGTTGAGAAAGATGTTTATTATGCAAGGAATAAAGTCCCTGTTGATTTATATGATTTAGAGGAAGAGAATTGCCCCAATATTGAAGACGCATTTTGGAGGGAGCCTAATGATGACGTTGGTTCCTTAAGTGGATTAGTTGATGTTGAGTTTGGATGCTCAAGAAACGATGTACCCGTTGATATCGTTGATATTCCATCTAATGCACAATATTCACATGATACAATTATAGAAACATCGAAAGAGGAGAATGAGTTTGATGATACTGATTGGGATTGGATGGAATCAGATGATTAAAGAAGATACTTCTTATATTCTTTTAAATATATTCTGTTTAGAGTGAGTAATAATATTTTTTATCAATATTTTATAATTACTCTTGTTTATATAATTTTAATAAATTTTTTTTTCTTTAATTAGTATTTTAGTCCGACATGATCCAGTTTTGCAGGATTTGGGATCTTCTAATATTTTAGCAGCTCTTGGTGACGTTAATATACATCAGCAAATCAAAAAGTCAGAATTCTTCATTTGTGTTAGATAGAGGTAGGTGAATTCTTCATTAAGAAATCTATCTTCTTACTGTTAAATCTATAAAAAGTAGTTGCATATGTGACTTTACATGTTAGATATCTTTATGTCAATATTTCCAAAAGATAGAAGTCAGATGTCAGAATGAATTGAGTTCCTACTGTGCTGCTGCTACTAGTGAAAATGGAGGTTCTGGGAATGAATATTATAGGAACCAGCAGCTAGCAGCAACAGCTGATCAGTTTGTCCTCTGTTTGAACCTCAATAATTTCTAAAAGATAGCAGCAACACAAATATAAAATATGCATATTTCTAAAAGATATAAGATTGCTTCCTAGAATAATTTCTGATCTTGAAAGCCTTAGGCTAAGTGTTCTTCATCAACATAGTCCAAAAGATGCCAATGCCCATCATTTCGAATGCCTGAAGGCCTGGGCATCCTCCAAAAACAAATTCCATGATTTAATATCAGTACTTAATTTTATATTCATTTGAAATAGAAGGAGCACAAAAGGAAAATGCTATAAATGCCTAACTTGGGTTCCTCCTTATCATCTTTATAGTTAGCTAATGAATCAGAGATGTTTTCCATTTTCATTATTCTTGAACCTATTTGTCTTTGAATTTCACCTTGGTGTATAAGGTAGTAGTCATCTCCTTCCCTTATAATCTTCAATCCCCTGAAAAATCATGTAAAAAAATTATGAATGCAAAACTAAAACATGTAGTATAATACGTTGAATTTGGCAATTTTGAGCTTACAATCCATTGCGATCACAACGATCTTGAACCTGAACCCATAAAAATTATGTTTCCATGTCTTAGAATCTGAAGGAGCATAAAAAGTGGCTTGATCTAATCCCCCATCTTTCTATAAACAGATCACACCATAAGCTGTTATCTGAACCCATAATTTTCCACTTTCTGCAAACTTTCAACAAAAAAAAAAAGACATTTTTTTTTATAATTGCCCAATTCTTGGAAACAATTCAGTCATTTACATGAAAAAGAATGAAACTTTGACTTTTTTTTGGGTCAAAACAGAGATCCAATTTTAGTGCCAAATTCATTTGACTGAAACAGTTTCATGCGAAATTCAGATCATCACAGTCAAGTAATGCATAACTAGAAAGATACCCAATTGTCAGAAGAACTAAAATTACTCCATATTAACTGCAAATCCATTATGTAATAAATTTCCAAATGNTCCGCATAAGCGGGACCGCAGAAGCGGTCCCTTGTCCGCAGAAGCGGAAATCCCTGGGCAGAAATAGAAATTTCGAGGGTTTGAGTTCATAAGTTACAAAAATTAATTGAGAGCTCGGTTTAAGGCGATATTGAGTAGGAGTTGAAGTGCAGATCACTGGGTAACGTTTCTTTGGTCCCTTCTTGTTATATTTCATCATTATATAGTTAAATCCACCATTAGAATTCGAATTCAAGGTCAAAAATTTGGGAAAAATTGGAAGAAACTTCATAGACCTAATTATTGAGTTTTGAGTGGGCAATTGACCTCCGATTTGGGAGATTTTTATATGGTTAGACTCGTGAGAGTACGAGGGTTCTAAAAACGTAAAAATTATTTGATTCCAAGACGATGGCTGAGGGGCATTTTGGTCATTTTACCTATTTTCGCGCCATAGCCTTAAATTTAATAGTGGAATCAGTTGTTTGCAATATTATTTACGATATGTAATTGAATTGAATAGATTTGGGCCATTTGGAGTCGGATACTCGTGGCAAGAGCGTGGTTTCTAGTTGATATTGAGCCGATTCGAGGTAAGTGACTTGTCTAACCTTGTGTGGGGGACCTTTCCCCTTAGGATATGATATGTGGTAATTGAGTGCCTTGTACGCGAGGTGACGAGCGCGTAAGAGCTAATTGTTGAAAACCCGATTTTCTTAAGATATTGAGATTTAGTTCCTTTCATTTTGCTTTATTCTACTTGCAATTATAACCTGTGCTAGATTAGGAAAGCATGATTAGTTGATTTAACTTGCCTAATTGCTTAAGTTGCCTTAACTGTACTACGTGAAGCATGCTAGGCCAGTACTACCTGTTGCTTGTCTTTTGTACTTCGTTTTCGTGTACCTTCTGGTTGTGACTGCGCACTTACATTGGGACTACGGATGTGGGATTCCGGTAGCTCCCCCTTCCCTTGTTTGTTTACTTTGGGACTACGGGTTCGATTCCCGGTAGATCCCCCCCTGCACTTTTACTTTGGGACTGCGGGTTAGATTTCTGATAGATCCCCCTGCACATTGATAGTTGAACTACGGGACGGTATCCCGGAAGATCCTTCGGATATACACTTATGATGGACTACGGGACGGTATCCCGGGAGATCCACTGGACAGTTGAGAAAAGGACTACAGGACGGTATCCTGGGAGATCCTCATTGTTACCATTGGTGTTGAGCTGTACTTATTCTGTGGTTGTTCCGTTCTTGTGTATTTGCTATTGCCTTGTTTAACCTCTTTTATTACACTGTTGTATTTATTATTTCTGTCAGATTATCATCCTGTTAATTATTGTTATTACTATATTTTGTCTCAGTATGGCCCAGACCTTCCTCGTCACTACCCGACCGAGGTTAGGCTTGGCACATACTGAGTACCGCTGTGGTGTACTCATGCCCTTCCTGCACATGTTTTTCATGTGCAGATCATCAGGTACCTCTACTCAGGCGCCCTATCAGTGAGGCAGGAGGACTACGGAGACTTCGAGGTAGATCTGCTGCGTCCGCAGACCGACGAGTCTCCCTCTTATTCTATCTTTAGTACTTAGTTTTTTTCCTTCTTTCAGTTGTTAGAAATTCTGGAGTTTGGAACCTTTACTATACACTTCTGTAGTCTGTGTTGCCCGTGAGTTTCCGGGTTTTGGGAAATTGTTTTAGACTTGTGATATTGAGTTGTACTTGCCAAGCGGCATTCACTACAGTTTCTTTTAGATATATGATTTGATTTTCTCTATTTTTCCGCAATTAATATACTTCCGCAAATGTTAGGCTTACCTGGTCATGGGGACCAGGTGCCGTCATGACATGTTCACGGTTGGTGAACTAGGGTCGTGACAACATATGACCCTTTTGTGTTAGCATCACAAGTTTATCAAGTTTTTTATGTGAAGGATCCTGTTGAGAAAGATGTTTATTATGCAAGGAATAAAGTCCCTGTTGATTTATATGATTTAGAGGAAGAGAATTGCCCCAATATTGAAGACGCATTTTGGAGGGAGCCTAATGATGACGTTGGTTCCTTAAGTGGATTAGTTGATGTTGAGTTTGGATGCTCAAGAAACGATGTACCCGTTGATATCGTTGATATTCCATCTAATGCACAATATTCACATGATACAATTATAGAAACATCGAAAGAGGAGAATGAGTTTGATGATACTGATTGGGATTGGATGGAATCAGATGATTAAAGAAGATACTTCTTATATTCTTTTAAATATATTCTGTTTAGAGTGAGTAATAATATTTTTTATCAATATTTTATAATTACTCTTGTTTAATATAATTTTAATAAATTTTTTTTTCTTTAATTAGTATTTTAGTCCGACATGATCCAGTTTTGCAGGATTTGGGATCTTCTAATATTTTAGCAGCTCTTGGTGACGTTAATATACATCAGCAAATCAAAAAGTCAGAATTCTTCATTTGTGTTAGATAGAGGTAGGTGAATTCTTCATTAAGAAATCTATCTTCTTACTGTTAAATCTATAAAAAGTAGTTGCATATGTGACTTTACATGTTAGATATCTTTATGTCAATATTTCCAAAAGATAGAAGTCAGATGTCAGAATGAATTGAGTTCCTACTGTGCTGCTGCTACTAGTGAAAATGGAGGTTCTGGGAATGAATATTATAGGAACCAGCAGCTAGCAGCAACAGCTGATCAGTTTGTCCTCTGTTTGAACCTCAATAATTTCTAAAAGATAGCAGCAACACAAATATAAAATATGCATATTTCTAAAAGATATAAGATTGCTTCCTAGAATAATTTCTGATCTTGAAAGCCTTAGGCTAAGTGTTCTTCATCAACATAGTCCAAAAGATGCCAATGCCCATCATTTCGAATGCCTGAAGGCCTGGGCATCCTCCAAAAACAAATTCCATGATTTAATATCAGTACTTAATTTTATATTCATTTGAAATAGAAGGAGCACAAAAGGAAAATGCTATAAATGCCTAACTTGGGTTTCGTTATTTCGGTGGTTTCAGNCTAATGAATCAGAGATGTTTTCCATTTTCATTATTCTTGAACCTATTTGTCTTTGAATTTCACCTTGGTGTATAAGGTAGTAGTCATCTCCTTCCCTTATAATCTTCAATCCCCTGAAAAATCATGTAAAAAAATTATGAATGCAAAACTAAAACATGTAGTATAATACGTTGAATTTGGCAATTTTGAGCTTACAATCCATTGCGATCACAACGATCTTGAACCTGAACCCATAAAAATTATGTTTCCATGTCTTAGAATCTGAAGGAGCATAAAAAGTGGCTTGATCTAATCCCCCATCTTTCTATAAACAGATCACACCATAAGCTGTTATCTGAACCCATAATTTTCCACTTTCTGCAAACTTTCAACAAAAAAAAAAAGACATTTTTTTTTATAATTGCCCAATTCTTGGAAACAATTCAGTCATTTACATGAAAAAGAATGAAACTTTGACTTTTTTTTGGGTCAAAACAGAGATCCAATTTTAGTGCCAAATTCATTTGACTGAAACAGTTTCATGCGAAATTCAGATCATCACAGTCAAGTAATGCATAACTAGAAAGATACCCAATTGTCAGAAGAACTAAAATTACTCCATATTAACTGCAAATCCATTATGTAATAAATTTCCAAATGAATCAGAAGAATAAAGACTAACCCATGTTTGTTTGGCTTGCAAGGTCTTCCTCTCCAGTCAACTGAGGTTTGCTGTGTTGATGTATCCATAACACAACAGATTCCCTTTTGAACTTATTCTTTCTTGTCTCTTCCCTATCCATCAACAGAAATATGTATTGCTATCTTCTTACTTTGACATAGAATCTCAAAGCATAATACTATATTGGTACAAGAAAATATATTAGAACACTGATTGCTGTCTTCTCAATGTTTCAAAAGTTGATTAGTTTGTCCTCTGTTCTCTCAGTTTGAAGGTAATACTATAGAGGAGATTAGTTAATTTCATGTGTGTTAATTAGAAACTTAAAGCTAAATGGAATACTGGAATTTCATGTACTGATGATTATATATGGTGTTGAATGTGCAGGTAGAAGAACACTGCAAGTTAAGCTCAGTGGAAGGCATAGCAGCTGTTGTGAATCAGATTTTAGGTAGGATTTTTTTAAATCTGTTACTACTTTATCTAAAAGTTTAAACTATTTAAGATTAAGACCCAATTTTATTTACTTAATTATTATTAGTGGTCTTGTTGTTAATGCTTTGATAACTTATTTCATATTTAATTTTCTGAATTTGACAGGAATTTGAATAGTCATGAATCAGGAAGGGCACTCAAGTAAAAACAAAAAAGCTAAAAATTGCATTGCAGCCGGATCACTTGCATCTTTGCTGAACCAAAAAGTTTCATCGTTGAAAACAAAAAGAATTGTTCAAGCTACAAGGACAAATGACAAGCATCATCTAAATTTAATTGAAAACTAACTTCCGCAATTAGGAGCTCAAGTGCAAGAACAATTGTTGCAACTGCCTTTGCCTTCTGCTTCTCCTCCAGCACAAACTGTACAAGAACAAGTGCAGCAAAATTCACTGAACACTACCTCTCTTGCATCACAAGCAGTACATGAACATATGCAGCAACTGCCACTCGTACTTCACAAACGGTACATGAACAATTTGAGGATTCTTCCAATCATGAAACAAACGAACGATCCGAGGAACAAGGCAAGAACATATAAATTTCATTTCGTTAAATTAACAAACAATATTGACGGGATATATGGTGATTATTCTTACTTAATATTAATGCAGGTCCTTCTGCCGAAAAAAGAAAAAGAGGCAAAACTCTGATGCCAAGTGTTCGTGGTAGGAAAGAGCGCAAGCTAATTGTGCTAAATGAGAACAATCAACCCATAGGTCCTACTGATGATGTTGTAGCAGAGTTAGGTAGCTTCCTCGGCACATTGGCAAGGAATGCGACCTTTTGTCCTCTTAATGTGTTTAATTGGAGGAAACTTGAAACAAGAAAAGATATGTGGAAATATATCAAGGTATGAAGTTCGCAATATTCTGTGTAGATATTTCATATTTTTACACTAACCTAACTGTACCAAATTTGTAGGGAAAATATGACATTTCTGATGCTGCAAAAAGGTGGGTTTTTTATTCAATTCAGAATGCTTGGAGAAAGTATAAGAATCAATTATTGAAAGACCATTATAAAGCCTATAAGAATGACGAGCTTCGAATGGAGAATAGGCCGGTTGATGTTCCTGAATCTCAATTTAGGGATCTTCTTAATTATTGTAACTATGATGCCTACAAGGTAAAACTAAGTATTGTCCCATGATTTTCTGAGAATGTCTAGTTTATGTTTAATTAGAAATCACTGAACTATCTTTATACATCAAATGAACTTAAGTTACATAACTTAGTGCACAATTTAAGCTTGATTTGAATCTGTTGGGACAACTGAACTGGACAACTCTGTATTCATTGGCTGATTTGCAAAAAATGTCCCAAACCAATACCGAGAATCGCAAAAAGTTGAAATATCCACACACTGCTGGTAAAAAAAGTTATGCTCGAATATGCGAGGTTTGATATTTTTTTTCCTTATTATTCTTTTAAATATGAACTTATTAACTTTAATCTAAAATATTTATATATCACTTTTTATATAATCAGGAAAAAAAGAAAGAAACTTCTGAGCCTCTATCAAGCAAGGACATCTTTGTGGCTACAAAAAACGAAAAAAAAAAAAAAAAAAAAAAAAAAAAAAACCGAATCGAGTATACAAGGCCTCGTATGCGGATACTCTTAATAAAATTGTACGAGTTATTAATTTAAAGTTTGTTGTTATCATTTGTCTGTTCTTAGTTATTGACTCAGTGTCATATACTTTCTGATTTAATAATTACTCAATTTGGTCTTGTAGGCTGAAATGGAAAAAATACAATCAACACAAGAAAGTGAAGATGGCAGTCAATCAGTTGACGCATTTGCATCAGTCATGGGACATGAGCATCCAGGTCGCCTAAGATTGTATGGACGTGGGGTTACCAAGACTTCCTTAAAAAGAAAAGTGGGAGATTTTGGAACCTCTTTAAGTTCTATTGATGAGGTGATACCGCAAAAATTGGAGGAAATGGAAGAAAGGATGCAGCGAAGATTGCAGGAAAAGTTCAATGCACTAAAAGATGCCATCGAACTACAAGTTGCAGTTAACATCATTTCACAACTTAAGCATCTGAATTCAGATTTATGGGTTGATCCCAGCATGCTAGCTTTCAATGCTCGTTCACCTAGAGAAGCTTCCTCTGCACAACAAGATGCTGTGCAACTAATCAATCGTTTATCTACTGGGAGTAATAATCAAGATCAGTACGTACTCCAGATGTTAGACCCCTTATTTTCTTTCTTTCTTTCTTTCTTTCTTTCTTTCTTTCTTTCTTTCTTCTTCTCCTCCTGCTTCTTTTCTAAGGTTTCACTTTAACTTAATCGATCTCTTTAAGGTTATTTCTTCGTCTAATTTTATATATGTTAATCAAGAAAGTGTCTGGTTTTCTGCCAGCTTCGTCCCCCCTTATATATATTTGATTATCTCATTTTGGAAAGAATCTTTCTACTGTGCGTATATAATAAATGGATAATTCGGAGTTGACTGTTTTGTGATTAATAAATGGATGATTCGGAGTTGACTGTTCTTGATTATCACATTTTGAAAAGAATCTTTTTGTTTTGTAACCCAGGAAATTATCAAGGAGAAAATAAAATATATTGCTAAACAACATGAAAGTAAACAGGTATGAGACAGAAGTCAAAAGCAAGAAAAACATCCACTATCAAGCGAAACAATGGAAGTGCATAAGAATTTTCTAACAGTGACTTTTTAATTCTTTACCCTCATCGAATTCAAATTTTCCACTTCATCCACCGACTGATTCTTTCCTCCAAGTGAACCTGCAAGAACGATGGTATTAGGCTAAAATCTATCCCATCTCAAGGATTCTGTTTTAATCAATACCTAACTTCATCCTCTATCTCCTTTACTGCAATAAGAAAATATAGCTATACACTTTAAAATTTAATTTTTTAAGGTTGGCAGAAGTCTACTGAAGAGAATTTCTATCTAGTTTGAAACTCATATCTGGCACAATCTTATAAAAAGCTGTACAGGAAAATCAGTGCCTTGGTTACGCATTCTGATGCTATAAAAGCATGATAAAGAGATTTTAGCTGAGTACAAATTAAGAATTTATCACAACATACATGAAACACTATGCTATTTCACTCATAGTACTTTTTGGCTCTGCAACCTTTATTTTTGAATTTGTGTTGGCATACCAATGGTTTCCGAAAGAAAATAAGCCTCCATATGACTCGAAATAAAACTGGTGGTTCTGCGCCTCCTCCTCTGCCTTTACAAGCGAATCGTGATGTTCAAAAGGGTGAAATTACACCCAAAAACACAAGGAAAGATGGTGCAAGAGTTATTCTAGGGGCTACTGCTGCAACAGTAGCAACAGCTGTTGCTATAGTTGGTCATATTCAAGACTTTGCCACTAGAATTTTGAGTTGGTATTTAACTTATTTTTTTCTCTCTCGGTTGGATTTATTACATGCAACTGACTATAATACATTTGAAAACTTTGTGCTTTATGCAATTATCTATGGACCATACCCATTCTTATAATGATACACAAACCCTTGAAGGATAATGACTTTATTTATCCTCTTTTGTAGGTGGAGCAATTGAAGAAAGGGAAGATGGAGATTGTGAAGATCTAGACCTTACTTAAGAACTTTGAATTGTTGTCCATGTAGGAATCTTTTGTTATCAACATTTGAAACTTACTCTAACTCTTGAAGTGTTGAAATGTAAAACTTATGTGATTGGGTTAAAACATTTTGGTTTTGTGGAGACAATATAGATTATGAATTGTTTTATCTTTTTATTTATACAAAATTTCAGGTTATTAAAAATTATTATATATGTAAATATTTATTTACAGCCAGGGCATAATAGTCTAATAGAACCGTTCTAATAGGTCTTGCAAACCGTTCCAATAGGTCTTACAAATCGCTCCAAAATGTACGACAAACTGATACAATAGGTAGTTAAAACCGTTGCAAACCGTTACAGTAGCGTAATGAAACCATTAGAATATCTGTAAATAAACGTTGCAAAAGCTTACATAACCGTTGCAATAAATTATATGGTACCGGCTGCCAACCGTTGTTGTAACTCTTTGGTAACGATTTTTAACCGTTGCAACTGAAAAGAAATACTCGTTGCTTCAGACAGAGGAACAACCGTTGCAATAGATGGCCCTCCAGCAATGGTTTGGATAACCGTTGCTCTAGATCTATTGGCACGGCAGCGTATGTAACGGTCGGTAAACCGTTCCAATAACTCTATGGCAACGGTTTACCTGTCTATTGCAACGGTTTTCCGGCTGTTGCCATAGGCTCATTTTCCAATAGTGGCCTAAGCCCATCTTATGTTACCACACGTTTCAAGACTTAGAAAGGTAAATTGGGGAATATTAATTCCTTGGTTCATTAGGAGATAACAACAGATAATGGAGAAGAACAAGGCAACTGTGGCGGCACTGTGGAGAATAGCAGGGATTTACTAATCTTTATTTTGGATACACTTTAGTGGAATATTGTGGAAGAAAAGTGTTAGTAGACTGTATTTGTAAAATAATTCTGGAAATATAAATGAGTATAAACAGAAATGAACATAAACAGAAATGACATAAAACCAATTCGAGCCCACTGAATTCACAGTGTTTCCTTAAGGAATTTAATCCCCTCCTAGTACCCAAGGTTATGGATTATTTCCTCCCAGGATAGAACGAATTACACACTGGTGTAGTGGTACTTCAAACCCCAGTGCTTCAGCGAACACAAAGTTCGGTAGCAAATCACACTTACTTTTTGCTTTGTTTGATGCTAAAAGTATGCAGAAGAAGGAGAAGAAACTCAGAAAATCGTCGTGAAATTCTGAGCAGAATAGTGTTGTATTTATAGCCAAAGTTAGGCTGAAATCT